TTTATGGATTTGATAAGGTTGCTCCTAAAGAAAGATTCTCAATGGATGTGAACAGAACAGAACGTCTGACCAACCTCTCCATCAGCGACAGTATGACAGAAGACACAGCTGTGTATTACTGTGCTGTGAGGCCCACAGTGACACAGAATGTGCGTCAGATGGTACAAAAACAGTTACAGCTTCTCTGAGAAACAGCAATGACAGATCTGAACTGGATGCACTCAGTTAAAAGTCATCCCACACAAGCAAGACTGATATAGATTACTTTCTATGTCATGTCAAAGTCTAACCAGTCAAGAGTTAAATTGCTGCAAACAGGGTGTTGAAATTTTGTTTTGTGTTTGCTAATTTAATGTGCTGAATTCGTCTAAGTGAGATGTTATGGTCAGTTTCTGCAAGAAGTAATGCACTGTTATAGCAATGGCTGTAAAAAACATTTATTTAAAGTTACAGCCACAAACACACAGGATCATGAGAACCATTTACTGTATCAATAGAATGACTCATACAATTTATCATGTGCACATGTTAATAACTTGTGAAAAATGTTTTCTCTGGATCCCAAAATTGTCACTGCGCCCAATTGGTCCACTTAAGCGTGAATCTAGAGGAAATCAGGGCAGTAAAGGGAGAGGTGACTGAACTGCACCCCCAAAATGAATCAGCAATAAAAACAGACAAAGCCCAGGAATTTCTGGAGCTCCATATGGTAATAAATTTCATTGAATGGGTCATGCCCCGATCGTTCGATCTTCCCGCCCCCTCATCTACCCCGTGTGGAATCCTCGTGTTACCAGCTGTTTCTAGTCTTGTTAATTACTGTTGTGTATTTAAGTCTGCGTTAGAGTCCGGTCATTGATGTCGGTTATACATAAAGTCATTGTTTGTTCCCGCTTGTCTTTACCCTGATTAAACCCTGAGTTCACACAATCCCTTGAATCCTGACACCACATGTTTTCATGAGGCTTAATCTGCCCATCACTAGTCATTGGTAATTAATAATAATTATCGATCCTTTATTATCCCCATGGGGAAATTCTTATGTATGCCTCCCTCAACTTACTCTTTGTA